GAAACTTTCACTTTCCTGGCCAGATTCACCAATGAACGAGAAGGATCTGATGCAGAAGTAAAGACAAGGACTGGAAAAACAAGGACAGCGTTCCTACAGTTGAAGAACATCTGAAACTCACAACAACTGTCAGTTATCATCATGGTTAGAATTTTTAATACGAACGTCAAGACAGTTCTACTGTACGGAGCAGAAACTTGGAGAAATCCCACAACCATCATCGAAGGCGTACAAGTATTTGTAAACAATACTTTACGCAAGATAGTCAACGTCCGCTGGTCAGACACCGTCAGCAACAGCCTATTGTGGGAGACAACAAACCAACTTCCAGCTGAGAAGGAAATTAGGAAAAGACTTTGGAAGTGAATAGGACATACATTACGGAAATCACCAAACTGCATCACGAGGCAAGCGCTAATTTGGAGTCCCGAAGGGAAACGGAAAAGTAGGAGACCAAATAATACACTGCACCAAAAACTGGAAGCAGATATGAGGAGGATGAACAGCAACTGGAAAGAACTAGGAAGGATTTTTCAGTACAGAGTTGGATGGATAATGCTGGTGTGCGGCTTATGCTACTCCACGAGGGGTAACAGAAGTAAATAAGTAAGTAAGTAAGTAAGTTTCTATACATTACCAGATAAACCAACTTTATTGAATGCAGAATGGCAGGTTTCTTAAACAAACACTTAGGAATACTAAGCATAATTTCCTTAATTACATGTTGCGAAGAAGAATTGAAATAAAATGTAAAGGTAGTTAGATAAATGAGTGATACTTCAGAGAATAGATTTTCTTGTGTAGAATAGCTACATCCATAGTCTTTTACTCGTACAAAGATATACAAATGATACTAATTAATGGCTTTTCAGGATAAATGAATCTTTTAGTTCATATTCTGAAGTTGACATCCACTTGCTTATCCTCTATAAGAACTAGACTACCTGTTCCATAAAAAGAACATTTTTCAGCAACCAATTGTCAGTAAAGACTTATGAGGTCTAGAATTGTTCTTTATAGCTAAAATGTTAATAAAAATCAATAAAATCTACTAGCGTGATTTTCTTCGTTGTGTTTGTGGTATATTTTTGCAATAATTCCCTTCAGTTGGTAATACTTGTTTGCAGGAAGGAAAGAGTAGCATTTTTAACTAAATAAATGTTAGACCAGTGGTTATAATAATAATAATAATAATAATAATAATAATAATAATAATAATAATAATAATAATAATAATAATAGCAACTGTAACAATAATGCTAAAGAAAATGACATTTATGGATGCAGGAAATTCACTATAATACAATTCCCAAAATGTTAGGTTATTTCCTTTGACATAGGAAAGAGACGGTTACAGAGACAAATCATATTGATAATAATAAAATAATAGTTATTGTGGTAATAGTAATAATAACAATCCGTCACAGGAAGTAGATAAAATCAGTGATTGGGGAGAGAAATGTCTTTGTTACTCCTACTCTCCTCTGTTCCTCTAAATGTCTCATCTAGTCCACCGGAAGACACGTCATTATCATTTATAGTCCTAGTGCTTACCACCTTCATTATTGTTATTGTTGTTTAAGTTTGTACGACCAATTGGTGATTGACAACTAAGATTTATTTAAATATGTACCATATATGAATGGAAATTTATTTTGTAGTCTTAATTTGTAGAGAAAATAAGTTTTGTACTAAAAGTTATATATTTAGTTATCAGATATTCTCTATAACTTAACTAAACATTATGATATGATTCAGATCAACAAGAAGTTGTACAGTAACTCAGGTTATTTAATGAGATAGAGACTAACAAATAAATAGAAGTACAATAAACCGTGAGAAGATAATATTCGTGCGTACCGTTCTCTGTGCATTTCTTTCAGAGTTATATGGCTTCTTGGT